AACCCTCATTTTTTTGCTCTACTCTTATTGGCAGATGGGAATAATTAGCATAGTTCTTTATGTTTCCCTGTTATCTTTCTTTCTGACTGAACAAATCTAGTTAACTTCAATATTTTTTTTCTTGAAGACTGGGAATGTAAGACAGTTACTGTTACCCTTTGAACTATATCTAATTTACCTTCAGATTACTGATACTTATTCCATCTTAAAATGTGATAATCTTGTTGGTTATGCAATAAGCATGCGAGCCCCCAAAACTAATAAAAAACATCATGCTACAGGTTGGAATTCCATTAGATGATACTGTTTCAGTTTCCTTGTTGCGTATTCTGGAGTTGGTTTCTTCCTTCTTGTATAAATTAGTTTTTGCTTTTCTTTGACATAATGACAGCTCCTTTTTCTCCTCCCCCCAAATTAAAATTAATCATAATCTTTCAAAGAGTTCTGTATTACCTTTCATTTTTGACTGACATCCTACTTGCTGTAGTCCTCAAGAAATCAATGAATATATTAACTGAAATTAGACTTGGCACCTGTCTCCAGCTAAATAGCTCTTGGGAGACTTAGATGGAATTTTTAATAACTTCAAAAGGGATTTTTTAAAAAACTGTGCATTCTTTTTTTCACATTAAGCCATTACGATTTATTAAAATGCATGTATATGTGGCTCTTATATGCATGTGAAAATTTAAGTATTTAATTAAATAGTTCATAATTTTATTCCAAGTCATTATAACTCCTTTTCCCAACAGCCTTAAACACAAAGGTATTTCACTATTGACTTATCTTTTCTTATAAAACTGTGCATTCTTAAGTCACTCTTTCAAACCCATGCTTTTTTTTTTTTTTTTTTGCGATATGCAGGCCTCTCACTGTTGTGGGCTCTCCCGCTGCAGAGCACAGGCTCCAGACGCGCAGGCTCAGCGGCCATGGCTCACGGGCCTAGCTGCCCCGCGGCATGTGGGATCTTCCCGGACTGGGGCACGAACCCGTGTCCCCTGCATCGGCAGGCGGACTCCCAACCACTGTGCCACCAGGGAAGCCCAAACCCATGCTTTTTGAGTTCCCAAATAAAGACATAAGGGTAGAATAAAACAAATATGACCAGAGATAAGAGCATTAGAACACTCTAAAAAAATCTAACAAGTTAATGATTGTTATGAAAAGAAACTAAACGGCTAGTTTAGGTAGTATCTTACCAACACAAAAGAACAGTGTATTTCTTCTCAGCCACAACATTCAACTTGAAGGGCAAAGGAACTGGAAAAACATGGTGCTGAAGAAGGGAGACTATAAATATTCAAGACTTTTTGTTTGTTTGTTTCTAAATTTCAGAACGTTTTGTTTTTCTTTAGAGCTCTAAATAAGTCAGGTACAGAAACCTCATCTCAGACTAAAAGTAATAACAATCAGATGATGAATAGAAAAGAGTTTAGTCTGAAAGAGTGAGTTGGAATCCTGGTTGTACCATTTAATAGCTCTGCAACTTTTATCTTTTCGAATTTCAGTTTCTACCTCTGTAACACCGGTATAATACCGCCAAACCCAATAGGGTTGGTGAGAACTAAAATAAAGAAGGCATGTAATATCTGTACAATGCCTGGCTCATAGTAGGCATTTGATAAATTTTCATGGACTTTTTCCCCTTCCCTAACCACTGTGGAAATTAAAATTGACAGATAAATAGTGTTCTCTTCACTCTCAAAGCTATTGTGGTGAGAAAAAGACAGAAATAACCAAATGGAGCTATAAGTCTCCTCGATCTAAAATTCTAAAGTAGATAAGTAAGCAGTGAAATAAAACTGGTAAGAGATAAATAGAAAGAATAATGGAACTATAAAACCCATATGAAAGCTAAGATACTGTTAATCATTCCTATTTTCCTCTTGGCTGTGATGATATTATATTTCATATTCAGTGAGGGGATAAATTACCCAAACTTCGAAAAGTAAAATTAAAAGTGTTTCACAAAAACAAAAACTGCTTCTATTTTCTAGATGTTTTATCAGAAAAATATTTCAAAATGAAAGTAAGGCCTTTCAGTCATTCATCTGAGATGACCTGTTTACGTCTATTACATGCCAACTGTCATACTAAAGGGCAGAGGGTATACAAAAGAAGGTGAAAGAATCTGTTAAAGGCATAGTACATGCCAAGTGTTTCAGGCATGCACCACTGTGTTAGTTCACTAGGGGTGCCATAATAAAACACTACGAACTGGGTGACAAATAGCAGAAATTTATTTTTTCACAGTCCTGGAGGCTGGAAGTCCAAGAACAAGGTGTAGGCAGTGTCGGTTTCCTCTGAGGCCTCTCTCCTTGGCTTGCAGTTGGCTACCCTCTTGCTGTCTCTTCACATGGTTGTCCCTCTGTGTACATACACCCCTGGTGTCTGTGTCTCTTTGTGTGTCCAAATTTCCTCTCCTTATAAGGCTACCAGTAAGACTGGATTAGGGCTCATCCTAATAGCCTCATTTTAACTTAATCACATCTTTAAAGGCCCTATCTCCAGACTGGGGGTTGAGATTCAACATATCAATTCTGGGGGAAGACACAATTCAGCCTATAAGAAACATCATCTCACTTAATCATCACCACGTTGTATAAATGAGGATATAGGCTTTGAGAGAATAAATAACTCATCGAATGTCAGATAGCCAGTAAGTGGTAGAAGGAAAATTTTAACCAAGGTCTCGTTATGAGTACACCAAAGCCTTTGCTCTTTCTGCTATTCACACCTCCTCAAAGAATTACACATCAACTTGGGAAGACATAGTACTGACTGATGAAACTTTAAATATGGGGCTTACTGATAAGGAGGCACTTATTCACTGAACTTGTGTATTATATGGAAAGAAGGGACTCAGGATTAATAAACGTTTATATAATAAATAGAATATTTATTATATTTTAGGCTGGGTTCTTTCACAAAAAAGTCTATTGGTTCCCTTACAGGAGGAATTGCTGATTGTCAAACAGAACAGTGTTGGTATGTCTTGGCCCAAAGCCTACAGAAGATCCAAGTCAATGTCAAATACAAGAGTGTTTTCTAGAATAAGTATCTTAGATATACTCTTTTAGATCTCTTTTCTTCTACATTTGGGTGTAGGTTATGTGCAGGTATACATGTATGAAATCCCTAATCTGCTTTATAACATTCTACATTTATCGTTTAGAGTTTGTTAAAAGTACCATTCTAGCTTGTGCTTTATTCTCTAACTACATTTGATGGATGTATACTATATGTTAAACTGTAATTACATAATTAATAAGTTAAATAATTTACACTCCTAGATTATGTTATAAGGCTTCCAAAGAAGACCATTACAGGTATGCATACTAAGGCATAGGTCTAGAATCCTGGTACATACCAACTCTTACACAAAAACTGTTGGACTCCTCAAAGCCGGAAGTGAAACTCCCATGTGAAAGATGTCCTCCTTATACTACCAGGAAAGAAACAAAGAGAGGCAACTGTGGATGAGTAACTAAAATATATGGGGGACTAAAGGAAGATAAGAATTATTTTAACAAGATCTGTTTGTACAAATTACTCTCGACTTTGACTCCCCTTTTCTGGTGATAAGAATGCAAACTTCACAAAGCTAAGTTGCCTCTCTTTGTTCAACTTAGTATATAAACAATTAGGCCTAGCCACTCCTTTGGGTCTTCATTTTCCTATGGGGATTCTCATGTATGTGTAAAAATCTGTATACTTTTCTCTTGTTAATCTGTCTGATGTCAATTTAAGACTCAGGCCCAGGTGGAGACCCTAGGAGGGTAGAGGTAAAGTTTTGTGCCCCCTGCACTATATATATAATAAATATATAGTGCTTACCATGTATTATAAGGGCTACAAGAGCCTCCTGAAGGAGGCTGAATTGTGGAAAACCATTATTTTGAGGTAAGTTCCTTGAATATTAATTATACCATTTCCAAAAAAAACAGTACAAAAGCACATTCCAAAGTTAGATCTGATTTTTAGTATGATTTATTCTTCTGCTTCTCTCCTAGAGAATGAATATTAAACAGTGTTCTTATCAGTAATGGGAATTCAGTTGTGATTTTTCAAACTGTCTCAACTGAGGGAAGTAGGTGGAAGAGGTGGGAGTAGTATATTAGAATCTCCAGGGAAAAAATGGGAGAGCAGATAGAGAAGTAATATTCAGAGTTTAAAAACAAAGCAGTGCTTTTCTCCAATACTTTTATGTGTTTTTAGTCATAGGATTTAATGTTTTGAAATTTCAAGTAACATTAAGGCAGGGCATATGTTAACCAAAAACAGAGGTTTGAGGAACACCAGCATAAGGGAATTTTTAATAATCAGAAGAAATCAGAGACTTCATTTTTTTATCTCCAGACTAAAGTGCATATAGAAGGCATTTAATGAACGTTTTGAACTGAACAGACTCAGTAGCCAATTAACCCCCAATTACTTACTTAATTCAACAAGTACACGCATAGAAAAAGGTAATGCTCTTACAGAGTTGTGTCCAGGAACTGAACACCATGATGGTCTAAACTTTAAGTGGAAAAGTAAATCCCCAAACCCAGTATGACACCTTTGTAACTCTGAGCACATATATTTTTATTTCTGACACTTTGTGTTTCCAGCTGTTACTACCTTTGTAAACTTTCAAAGAAAGAGTTCCTTATTATCCCCCTCTCCTTACCTCTTTGGTGCCTTCTACACAATAAACATACGTGCTCAGGTTGAGAACTACTCTGACTCCTGAACTTCTTTTTCCTCAAGCTGAGTATCCAAAGACAACTAAGATTTTCAATTTGACTTTTTTGGCTTTCAGTCCCAGAACAAACTTATTGTAAGACATATTATTTCCTACCTGCTGTCCGGCTGTAGATCACTGATAAGGCTCAAACTAATCAGTTCTCATGGTTGGAGGCAGATTGAAAGAATATTTACAGTACAGGCCCCTCCCAACCCAGCAGCTCTACGTGCATACATGATGGACAGTGCCCTGAAGTCCAAGGAATACCTACTTCCAGCTTCAGAACATCGTGCTGAAGTTTACGCTGAAATTCAAGGAAGTTTTTGATTGTCAGCTTCCCCTTGAGATCAGCTCCAAAAAAGTAGGTTGTGAGGGCTGAACACAAGCCAGACTTGAGGGTGTTACCAGTTGTAGAACGATCTCTGTGACGCATTCCCATGCTGGTTTGGGAGCGAATGATGCTCTGAACCTAATGGAGAAGCAAACCCCCGTCCAGAAAAACATTACAAGGTGGAAAATATGGAAAAGTAAGAATAGTAACTGACTATCGACTGCTTACTGTTTGCCTACACTGCGCTACAATGCTCTCTTTTAATGCTCACAACAGTCCTATGAGATAAGCCCCATGATTATTCTCATTTTACAGATGAGGAATTTGAGGTACACTGCTAAATAACTTGCTTGAGGTCAAGTAGCTAGCAAATAATTGAACTGGTATTCTAACACACATGCTTGACACCTTTATAATTGGGATGCCTTTTAAAATCTCTCTTTAGAAAAAAGTATGCATTTGTTTTAGGTTCAAAACCTCACACACAACATTAAAATAATCATCAACCTCACAGTAATACCTTCCATATCTCAGGAGACTTTCAAAAATTTCACACTTCTCACTACTGACTCTCCAGTTGTGATGAGAGGCGGTATAGCTATAGGCAAATACTTGATATCACACAGATATTGAGATAACACATTTATTAGAATGATAATGTGAAACATAAAGTTGGTATGAAGTAATTCTACAAGAGAAGATGGAGAATTAATCTTTGAGAAGTTTTAAATGAGCTTTTGAAAACAAACAACCCAATCCAAAAATGGGCAGAAGACCTAAACAGACATTTCTCCAAAGAAGATATACAGATTGCCAACAAACACATGAAAGGATGCTCAACATCACTAATCATTAGAGAAATGCAAATCTAAACTACAATGAGGTATCATCTCACACCGGTCAGAATGGCCATCATCAAAAAATCTACAAACAATAAATGCTGGAGAGGGTGTGGAGAAAAGGGAACCCTCTTGCACTATTGGTGGGAATGTAAATTGATACAGCCACTATGGAGAACAGTACAGAGGTTCCTTAAAAAACTAAAAATAGAACTACCATATGACCCAGCAATCCCACTACTGGGCATATACCCTGAGAAACCATAATTCAAAAAGAGTCATGTACCACAATGTTCATTGCAGCTCTATTTACAATAGCCAGGACATGGAAGCAACCTAAGTGCCCATCGACAGATGAATGGATAAAGAAGATGTGGCACATATATACAATGGAATATTACTCAGCCATAAAAAGAAACGAAACTGAGTTATTTGTAGTGAGGTGGATGGACCTAGAGTCTGTCATACAGAGTGAAGTGTAAGTCAGAAAGAGAAAAACAAATACTGTATGCTAATACATATATATGGAATCTAAAAAAAAAAATGGTTCTGAAGAACCTAGGGGCGAGACAGGAATAAAGACGCAGACATAGAGAATGGATTTGAGGACACGGGGAGGGGGAAGGGTAAGTTGGGACGAAGTGAGAGAGTGGCATGGACATATATACACTACCAAATGTAAAACAGATAGCTAGTGGGAAGCAGCCACATACCACAGGGAGATCAGCTCAGTGATTTGTGACCACCTAGAGGGGTGGGATAGGGAGGGTAGGAGGGAGACTCAAGAGGGAGGAGATATGGGGATATATGTATATGTAGAGCTGATTCACTTTGTTATAAAGCAGAAACTAACACACCATTGTAAAGCAATTATACTCCAATAAAGATGTTTAAAAAAATACAAAAAAAATAAATGAGCTTTTGAGAAAGAATAATTTGGGGGACTAGCAACCATGGCTTAACTATATAAAATGAGCTTTTTGAGGCAAGTCTATGATTGATATAGCATTTTTTTCACAAGTTCCTGCAATCTTTTCTACCTCTTCACAAGCTAAAATAACAACTATTCAGAATAATTAAAATTGTGATATGTAAGAACAGATAATAAAGGTATATTATATAAATAAATAATATATATAGCCTTGTGGATGATGATTTTTAAATTGCCAAATTAGAAAAGCATAATACTTTAAAACTTAAGATTTGTAACAATGGATTTCCATGGTTAAATGTCTTTTATTTGTTTTATTTATTACCTATGACCATAAAAAGACTTATTTAACACAATTTAAAAGTCTCTGGCTCTAAAAGGTAAAAGTAGTATAATGGAAAGACACAAGATGAGGAATCAGGACACACGAGGTCTAATTCTGTTGCTCTGCAGTGAAAGCACAATTTATGCAGTTCATTTAACTTCTTTGGGCCTTAGTTTTCTCATTGGAAAAGTTCACGGTTTTGTCTCTAAGTCTCCTTATAACTCTAGGTTAATATCATAAATGCTTCTGATTATGATTTTTTTCTGGGTTCATGTTTTATCATGTAAATAAGATTTCTTGACATTTGTTTTTCATGCACACGGAGACTTGAAAGATAGGTATACAATGGATTTTAAAATTATTTAAGTTGAAGTTTTTTAGACATTAAATTGAAATACAGGATAATCAGTACAGTGCTGCTTCTATTTGAAGGCAATACACAATTCATTTTCTCTGCCTGGGTATGAGAACTGAAGAATTTTCCAATAGCAGTGAACCAGTATTGAGCATCAACGTCAAGACCTGTCATGATTTAAATTTTGTCTGTGCCATAATATTGCAGCTTATACCCTTCCTATGGTGGAAATGTGTATGTTAGCTTCAAAAGTGTGGTGCTGAAGAGTGTATGTGGAAATTTCATTCCCTTTCTTCTGTCTCACAACTCATACTTTCATACTAAAAAATCATTTCTGTCACAGCCTCGGGTGAATGTAGCCCAAACAGTTATGAGATTTCTTAAAAAATATCTTTTGCTAGGTTAGTTCTGTTTTATGATCTGCTATGAAATGGGTTAAAGAAAAGGATCTGGGGGCTTCCCTGGTGGCACAGTGATTAAGAATCTGCCTGCCAATGCTGGGGACATGGGTTCAAGCCCTGGTCTGGGAAGATCCCACCTGCCGTGGAGCAACTAAGCCCGTGCGCCACAACTACTGAGCCTGCGCTCTAGAGCCCGTGAGCCACAACTACTGAGCCCACATGCCACAACTACTGAAGCCCGTGCGCCTAGAGCCTGTGCTCTGCAACAAGAGAAGCCACCGCAATGAGAAGCCCGTGCACCGCAAATGAAGAGTAGCCTCTGCTCACCACAACTAGAGAAAGCCCACGTGCATCAATGAAGACCCAGTTCAGCCAAAAATAAATAAATAAAATAAATAAATTTATAAAAAAAGAAAAGAAAGGTCAGAGAAAACCTACACTATTTACAGTCGTGTAATGTTTTTTAGTAATTTATGTTTATGCATGATCAAAGTGATTTTTGAAAAAGATGAATAAAAGAGTAATATTAGGTATTAGCTTGCTTCACACCACATTGACTTTGAAGATACACAATGATGAAATGTGTGTGTCCTCATACTGGCTCTGTTTTACTTTTTTTGTAAGCTTGACAAATTTACCGTCAAGAAAATACCTATTTAGCTGGAAATCAAAGTTTGAATGTTTTAAAGCTTAGTGCACTTTCAACTTAAAGAATTATTATATTGCCCAAAAATGTAGAACGTAGAACAATGAAGCAGAGAAACTTCTAATGAGAGCTATTCACTCCTGAACCACCTCATAATTATTTTTGTTTCTCTAAAGAGTTTTTATATCAAAATTCCTTGTGATCAATATTACAAGTTCCATCCGTTTAACAAGGCCAGTTATCAAGGGATCATATTAGATGAAATTAATACTCCCTTCTCTGTCAAGTGAGCAGAATGGTGGAGTGACTGCTCCAAGTCATTCAGCATTTCAACAGCAATGCCAAAAACGTTGGTGAGGATGTGGAGAAAAGGGAATCCTCAGGCACTAGTGGGAATGTAAACTGGCGTAGCCAGTATGGAAAACAGCATGAAGATTCCTCAAAACATTAAGACTAGAACTACCATATGATCCAGCAATTCCACTTCTGAGTATTTATCCAAAGGAAACCAATCACTATGTCGAAGAGATATCTTCAGCACCCCCCACCACATTCATTGCAGCATTATTCACAATAGCCAGGACATGGAAACAACCTAAGTGTCCACTGGCAGATGAATGGATAAAGAAAATATGATACACACACACACACACACACACACACACACACACACACACACACACACTGGAATGTTATTCAGACATAAAAAAGGAAGTAAATCCTGCCATTTGTGATTAACATGGATGAACGTTGAGGGCATTACGCTGGATGAAATAAGTCAGAGAGAGAAAGGCAAATACTATATGATCTCACTTATATGTGGAATCCAAAAAAAGCTGAACTCACAGGCACAGAGAACAGATTGTTGGTTGCCAGAAGCAGGGGATGGAGGGTGGGCAAAATGAGTGAAGGTGGTCTAAACTTCCACTTATAAGATAAATAAGCCTTGGGGATATAAGCATGGAGACTATAGTTAACAAAACTAAATTGTATATTTGAAAGCTGCTAGGAGAGGAGATCTTAAAAGTTCTCATCACAAGAAAAAAAACTACGTGTGGTGATGGATATTAACTAAATTTATTGTGGTAATCATTTCAAAGTATATACATAGGTCAAATTATTATGTCATACACCTAAAACAATGTTATATGTTAACTATATCTCAATAAAAATAAAATAGTTCTGTGTAAAATAAAATTAAAAATACCAAAATAAGTTCTATTTATAATCATTTGAGGCCGCCTGGTAACACCAGTGAAGTGCAGAATTATGAAAAGTGAAGGTATTAGATGGACATAGCTTGCAAATTTGAATAAATATCTGTAGGTATTTTGAAATATTTGTCTCTGTGCATTTCTTTTTTTTGTTTGTTTTTTTTGTTTGTTTGTTTTTGGTTTTTTGGGGGGGTTTTTTTGGTTTTTTTTTTGCATTACGCGGGCCTCTCACTGTTGTGGCCTCTCCCGTTGCGGAGCACAGGCTCTGGACGCGCAGGCTCAGCAGCCATGGCTCACGGGCCCAGCCGCTCCGCGGCATGTGGGATCTTCCCAGACCGGGGCACGAACCCGTGTCCCCTGCATCGGCAGGCAGACTCTCAACCACTGCGCCACCAGGGAAGCCCGTCTCTGTGCATTTCTTATTTAAAGATACACTATTCCTGATACTTTCTCCCACTTCCTTTTTGCCTCTTTACTCATTGTGAATACAAAAATGTTATCTCCCACATATATATTTTTTTCTGTTTTGAAACCACTTCTACCAAACATAATAATTATACCTGGAGAGACACCATGGCCCTCCAAGAACAGAAGTTTGATGGAAATGTAATCTCTTCCTAGGATTCAGAAGAAACTATATACTTTTATGGCTGGAACCTGCTACAGTAAAAGGCATCGTACCATTTTTCCTTCTCTTACAGAAATCCTTTCAGAACATATGTCATTCATCCTTGTATTCTGGAACTGCCTAGCACAAAGGAGCTATTTAATAAATGTTGATTGGATATATGATTGAATAACCGTAACTTAGCCTCTCAGCATTAGAGTCTAATTTATGTTGGGGAATCAGAGCAATGTTGACCTTAATAATATGCTCAAATAATTCCTTACATTTAGAGTAAAAACAAACAAAAAAACCTCACCTATTAAAAGTGGAGATAATTCTGAAAAATGATACATTTGGTACTTCAAAAATTGGATAGCATCAGAATATACTGACCAAGACCACAGTAACTCCAAGGCATATGAAAATGTGTTAAATATTAATGTATTCAAAGGAAATTTCCAGGAAAACTTGCCTGTTCAAACTCCTCCATGTCTACTTCTCCATCTCCATTCAAGTCAAACATCTTGAAGGCAATTTCAAAATTTCTCTGAGGAGCTGCAAGTTAGGAAGGATGGAAGGACAGGAGGGAGGGAGGAAGAAACAAGAAAAATATTTAGAAGGTATTGACCAAAAATAATCATTCCTTTAAGAAAAAAAGATAGTTAAACATTAAAATGTAATATCAAGTCACAGAATGCCACCATATGTATCTTAATCAACCTTTTAGCAATAGTCCTTAAAACCAAAAGAGAATTTTACCATGGCCAGTAAAGATAGCACTTGTCTATCTTTGTGTTTCAACACTCTCTTTTTAAATACTTCAGCTTTGCTTTCTTAGAAACCATCCTCTTAACTGAATAATATTAACGTTGTTCTGTTACTTAAATATAGTGTTATTTATCTGGGCATGAAAGTCTATTTGGGGTGAGATATACTGCTGCAAAGTAAGAAGCTAAAACTCTAAGTCTTTGTCTTGCCTTTTTAAAACAAGTTAGCTTTCTACTTTGTTTTTTCTAGTCTCTCCACTGTAAGTACAACCAGGAGTTCAGTGGATATCGTTCTGCCAACAGGTTATTATCTACACCGCTCTACTCAATGTCACTATAGCTCTGTGGTAAGGCAGAAAAGCACAATGTCAGCTACCCAGCCCCCTATTTTAACCATGTCAGCTGGGTACACAAATTACTAAGCAAAGTACACTTAAATGTTTAAAAAACAAAATGAAAAGTGCAAAGCTTGAGAAGACAGTATATTTTTTTTCCCTTAAGTGAATGATGAAAGTGTTTCAAGACTTCTTTAATGTTCCTAGGTTAATCAAAATAAAATTAATATATTTGTGCATTAGGATAAAATATAAATAGAACAGCCCTCCTTCCTTACCAATGCTAAACGTTCTACTAAAGAAAATAGCGACTTCCCTGGCAGTCCAGTGGTTAGGACTCGGCACTGTCACTGCAGGGGCCTGGGTTTGATCCCTGGTTGGGGAACTAAGATGCCACAGGCCATGTTGCGTGGCCAAAAAAAAAAAGAAGAAAACTAAGTCGTTTACCTCCTTCCTTTGGTGCTTCAAATTTATATAGCTATAAAGAATAAACCAAAATAAAATTTCCTATATATCCTAATACTACTGAATTAAATTTTCAGTTAATTATCACTTTTAGTAAAAAAAATAGTAACAATTCAAGATTATATGTAGACAAAAGAGTAAAAAAGGGCTTAGTGTATTATGCATTGTTACAGACAGTCCAGATTCCCATCATGCTCATGAATTTGTCAGTATCAACACTTTCTAGGCTTAAATTCCATTCTCAGCTAGCTAGCCAACTAAGTGGGTAAGCTCCTGGTTTTTAGTTGCCTGGGTGAATCATGTGCTTGTCAGTTTCCAATTGCCTGTTTCACTTGATAATGGCTTCCAACAGGTTTGCTCTTCTTAGGCCACCAGTATGATTGCTGAGAAGGATGCAGTGGGGGGGATTAGATTTTCGTATATTTATTGTCACTTCTCAAATTATTCCTACCTGTCTGGATGCTATCGTTTATTGAAGAGTTACTATGTACCAAGCATTGGGCTGAATAATTCTAAGCTGTTATCTGATTTTGTATTCTCAATACTGAAAATTTTATTTCTTTCTTAATTTTTTCAACAGAGTAGGAAATTGGGGCTCAAAGTCACTAAATGACTAGCTCAAAATCACACAGCTAATAGGCAGCAGAACTGGTAAGTGAATATAGGTCAACACTGACTCCAAAGCCCATAATTTTTTCATTATGTTCCACAGCCTCCAATATGAAGACAGTGGTACTTAAAATAATAAACCAATACTCTTTATTCTGGTATGTTTTGACTTAGAAACAAAACAACCAAACATGACTCACTGGTTACATCAGTCTCTGCAATAGCTCAGAGTTTCAAGTGGTCCATCTAAAGGATTTACCTGATATCAAAGAAACGTTGTATGTGAGGAGCTCAGTAGTTTAAGCTTGGTTGCACTCATAGGCATAGACAACATCAGATTCTCTGATAGACTTGTCACATATTTTTTAAAATTCTAAATATGAATTTCTTTAAACATGAGTGCCTCCCTGTTCTCCCCTATTGTCTCAAACTTGGTCCACTGCACTCACATACATTATTTGCCTAATGCTTACAGATTCTTGAAATTGTAAGAACTGCAGACAATATGAGGTCACTGAAAGTTTTAAGTGGAGGAGTGCCACAATCACACAGGCATTCAGAAAGAACTTCTCTGGCTACAGTGTGAAGGATGAGTTGGAAAACAAGAAGCAGCCTCAGAGAAGATCATAAAAGCTCTTGTAAATGGTGCAAATGTGAACTGAGGTGATGGCGGTGGTCATGGAGAGAAGGAAACGTATCTGAAATAACTTGAGGCAGAAAGTATATAACTTAATGATTAATTAGCTGTGATGAGTTAAGAGTAAAAAAGGTGGACAGCATGACTGGCTTAGGTTACCAGGTAGCCTGCATATCACTAATCAAGAGATAAAAGGAATGGAAAAGGTTTGAGAAAAAAAATGAATTCAGATAGGACCTGCTGAATTCAAGGAGTCCATAGCATAATATTCAGATGAAAATGTTCAGGAGATAGGTGGAAATATGGGTCTAAAGCTTAGAAGAGAGAGGTTAAAGCTGGGAATCATTAGCATGAATATGTTAGCCGCAAAGACCTGAAATGAAGTTGTCCATGGAGAACTGAAGGTTGAGGAGAAGGGTAAAGAAAGGGTAGAATGAGCTGGAAACCAATACTTAAGGTGAAAGGAAAAAGAAAGGAAGCAGTGACAGAGGAGGCGGTATCACAACATCAAGGGAAATGTGGTCCAAATGAATAGAAATAGGGAAAGATCTGGCCAGAAGCCGTCAAAGTGCTGCTACTCCTGAATTAAAGCAGCATTCTCATTCCCTATCTCCACTGATTACAGAGGGGACACAGAGTTCTCAAAATTTTAGCTTTATCATGATCTGTTATTCCTACTGTCCTGTGAGTTCTGTGATGGCATATGCCCAGTCATTTATATGACTGAATGAGTTATTATGGCAAATCATACTTATATGTTCTCCTACAACTAAGGTTAAATTCACTTTACCAAACAAAGCACATCCTATACTGCTTGAGGTTTCTTTATCTTTTTATCCTGGCTTACTCCCAGGATATCTGCTTTATGTGGAGCGACTCAGAGTGTTTATTAAAGAATATGTGCTGACACTCTCAGGCTGAGCTCCTGTGCCCTGGTCACTGATATGGCAAGTCAGGGCAGCAGCTGTGCACACTCTCACTTAGGCCTTAGCAGTCTATCAGGCAAGGTCCTTCAAGGAGTAGTTCTCTCAGTCTATTCAATCTTCATCTGCTGATCACGTCAAAGCACTTAAGTGAAAAACCAGCTTGCTTTAAGTGAAACATGCTACACAGGAATATGCTGCTAGGCAATTTTCTCATACTCTCCTGTCTCCCTTTAAATGTAGGCTTTGGAGTAATTTTTAAATCTAGCTGCTCTGGAAAGCTAAAGGTGTCTTGAGTTTACATTAATTCACAACCTATTTCCATAGAAAGGTATAGAGAGAGGAATTCTTTTGAATTCCAGGCTGCTTGTAGAGTGACAGTGAAGTTCTGCTCTGCCCGCTCCTTGTGTTAATGGCTTAATCTACTTTCTGCGCATCAATTTCTAAAACAATTATACATTGGAACTGATCAAAACAATGGAATTCTATACAAAGTTCATCACTATACATCCTTTGCTCATAATTCCATGATAGTCTTTGCTATAAGTAAATGGATATACATTAGATCTGTTCTAGTTAAGAATAAAACATTTTTACATTATTCTATCATTGACAATAATGACAACAGCAATAACAACTCCTGACTTGCTCAAAGCACAGGAGATTTTTCTACGTTGTTTTAGTAATAAGAAAAAAAAAGTTTTTCTATGTGTGGTAAGTCAAATAATCAGATAGCAACAACACTACCTGTCTCAAGATTTTCATGACTTTCACTTATTTTTCTTTAATAGAAATGCAAATGACTTGGGCTCTAATTCTGGCTTTTCCACAACATAATGAGTCATTATGCCTTAAATTCTCTTTTGGTAGTACTGACGGAATGAACAACAACAAAAAAAATGGACAGGTTATAACATAAACAAGTTTCTTCTTTTCTTTTTTTTTTTTAAAATAAATTTATTTATTTATTTATTTATTTTTGGCTGTGTTGGGTCTTCGTTTCTGTGCGAGGGCTTTCTCTAGTTGCGGCAAGCAGGGGCCACTCTTCATCGCGGTGCCCGGGCCTCTCACTATCGCGGCCTCTCGTTTTGGAGCACAGGCTCCAGACGCGCAGGCTCAGTAGTTGTGGCTCATGGGCCCAGTTACTCTGCGGCATGTGGGATCTTCCCAGACCAGGGTTCGAACCCATGTCCCCTGCATTGGCAGGCAGATTCTCAACCACTGCACCATCAGGGAAGCCCAGTTTCTTATTTTCTGTTGGTTTGATTCTCCTACCACAAAATTCCCACCTCTACCATTCCTGTTTTAAAATGATGCCTAGGACAAATGAGGTAATTAATATGCAATATCAGAGAACTCTGAGTTAGAAAATAAATTCATATAATATGACACACCTCTCTTCAATGATGAACGTGCCTACTGAATTTATAAGGATGATCACACAGCCTCTGATTATTTCTGAGAGGGAGGTCACCACTTCTGTGGTGTAACCATTGTTGGCCATATTAATTGAACTTTTTTCCTCATGCAGAGCCCAGATCTAATTCTTTGTAGCTCTTACAAATTGTCTTAATTTAATTTTCTAGAGAAATAAAAAAATATAACCGCTTCCTCATATATGCTGGCCCTTTGAATACATAAAAGCATAGTGTCATGTCTTTACTAAAGGTTTCTCAGAACTTGTTTCCAGAACTTCAACATCCTAATAGCCCCCTCTGGGGTACTTGAGAGGGCCAATGCCTCCCATAAATGCAGTATTCTAAATATAGTTAATTCTGGAATGACTTATCCTTTCTAATAACAATAGGACTTCTTCTTT